TTGTGCGTTCCTCTTAGAGCTCTTAGTCATCATAATATGGGTGTCTGTTGATCCACCACGCCCTTATATTGATAAATCATCACGTGACGAGTTCATTCACACGTGTAAACCAAGCAGTGAGTCAGCAGGCATGGTCTGCAGTTACATACTCATGTCCATTCTCATTTTGTTTTCTCTGGTCTGCTGTTACCTCGCCTACAAGGCAAGGAATCTTCCACATAACTTCAACGAGGGCAAATTCATAGCATTCTCGTTGTACATTTTGTTGTCTTCATGGCTTACGTTCTACCCCGTGTTTTTAAACATACAAGATATATACACTGTTGTCGTTCTTTGTGCAACGACATTGGTATCTGCTTCGGGTATTTTAGTGTGCATGTTTGTGCCAAAGATTTATATCATCTTGTGGACGCCCGAGAAGAATACCAAACGGTATATACAGGAGCAATTGACTAGCCATGCCTTCAGGCGGAACACTATCGAGGCCCCCACAACAGCCAGTCAAGGTACTTGAAAGGCGGACGCGCGACTCTCACGCCAAAACCTCTCTAGACAACTCAGGACTGGTTTGATTAACTAGAGACTTAGAGTTACTCTAACTTCTGTGAATAGCTATTGATAAATATGACATTAGAATAAATTTATATGAGAACGCATTAATCCTTACTTAGCAGGAGCTTTTGTAGCGCCATTCTCGATTTTATAAACAGGAAACCCAAGAGCGGAATATGACCGGATGAGACGGCAGTGAGCGGGTGGGATTTGCCATATGCCAGGGCGTATCTCTCCAGACGTTATTTTGTCAAATACCAAGAATGCCTAACGTGCTTGGTTGATGAAGTACTCATTTGCTTTCTTAACCAATGACTTCCTTCCGTCAGATTAATTCCTCTTGGTATATACATGTTCTGATTTCAACACCCGGTGAGAAATAAGTCAGTTGGTACGGATCACTAAAATCGTAAACATAGACTTAACTCATGTTTATGATATTTCAGTTCTTGCTCTGGTGTGAAAGCCTGATTTTCAGTTGTACTGGCTTATTCGGAAACTCTGCTGCTTTGATAAACAGAATGTTGTGATAGAATATAATAATAATATATGATAATATTTTATATAAAAATATAAGAAAGCAATGTTTTGTAATATAATATTCATGATAACTTTAACTTGATATTAAAATAGTGAGCTGTAATTAYAAGTTTTTTTCTAAATAAAAACAAGCCTTGTAATGTATTTTCTTCGCGTTGTCTTGAGAGCATAGCCTCGGAGGAGTTATTGTGCATAGACTGCGGAGGAGACTATGCTGAGTCATTTCTGGAAGTTTTTATGGCATCAAAATCTATACATGCAAAAGTTCTGATKCTTTGTGCATATTTAAAAACTTTAGAAAGCATCAGAATGCTTTAGATGGTTTGGAAAACGTTATATTAAAAATAAACATGACTTGACCGCGTGAGCTGCGGTAATAATCCATGAATAGGCGCGTTGTTCGGCAGTAATCAATCACTAGCCGAAGCCGATTACAAATGTTTTTATCAAAATCCTTTATTGCCGTTCGATTCTTTTTCTTATTTTCGGTATTACTACGGTAAGTACTCGAGTACAAGGACCATACAAAGGCATGTCAATATATCAAAGATCGAAACAGACAGACAGACAGACAAGGAGTAACATGGAGGAAATCAAAACCACATAGTTATCACAAAGGAAGACGACCAAATATGATCTTTCGCACTAATATTACATATTTTAGCTCTTTTCTCGTTGTTTCTAGACACCTTTCCTTGACAAGCTTTGCTAAACGACCTTCCAAAAAAGGACAACGCGAATATTATAAAAAAACGTGACATAACGAGCAATAGAAGCAGTGCTCAAGTACCTTGACCTCCTAATCTATTTCCTTTTTGCAAGACTATTATAAAAACCAGAAAACTAGCACCCCTGCATACTTTTGAAAGTTTATCCAGACAACCTCATGAGATTATTATGCCCGCTATTATAGTTGTATTTGCTTTGGTCTCCAGCCCTTAATATTCAGCATATTTGAATGAATTGCTCATCAGTTGGTTGCTATGGAAACGCGCGCTAGTTCGTGAACTTGACCCAGATTCACTTTCACGGAAGAGTGAAACTCCAAAACTTAAAATTAATGCGAAAAAAARGCTTACTACCGATACTGCGCTTATACCAAGTGTGGAGCAGCGTTACTACGGGAAGTTTTCAAACGGTATGGAAGCAGAATACATCGCCATAATATTGACAAATTGACGCAGGGTTCGTTCAAGCTAGCCGACTTTGACGTCATCCGTGGTATCACATCAACTTCCTACGACAAATCTGATTGGTCGAGACGTGGTCCCTTTGTTCTACGCAGAGTTGTTTATAACTGCTGATATCAACCGTAAATATAGTTTGAGCASGACTAACGTACGCAGCGATCAAGTTTAACARCCTTCACTGAAGCAATTTCTTATTTCTATAAGGTAAAGTCTTTAACTAGTGGTTTGAATTGTTTTGAAGGTTGTAAAGAGATTTGCTAATCGGGTTTGCGTTTGRTTTTATGACAGATGCCTGAACTGCGAAGGGATCCACAACCACCTCTTAGTCAGGAGTTCTTTGAAAGCCTCGATAAAGTCGACGAAAGCGCTCTGGCGAGGTTGATCGTGGAGTTGAATCTTAATCGTYTGCAAGAATTACCCGATTTGTCGGCAATATTCTTCCGTCGAAGACGACTGCAGCAGCCATATGGGGTGATACCTCCTCGTGTAGGTGGGTACCACCACACACGTCCTACAGTCCCAAGCATACAAAGGCCTGTGGGSCTACAGAGRGGTACATGGCCTATAGTCTACTGAAGATACTTGGTGTAACTGTAAATAGCTTTAAAGTAAAGTCTTGGTAATAATTACTGTGGTTTATGAACTACTAATCGACGATCACGGACATCGATATATGGTTTAAAGTAAATACGAAAACTCATCAAGATCTACAAATCTAATGTATATAATAAACTGATAAGTTAGAAGAATTTGAAAATTGCAAATCTAGCGTATCTATAGAAAGACGCTATGACGAAATACAGCGTGACAAGACTCGTGGTGGACTGCTATGCATAAGGGAAAYTGTACATTGACATGCATACGAACATGCTTGAACATTGTTGACTTCAATGTGGCTTATTGTTATGCAAGATGTCGAAAACAATAAATACCACCTCATGACATGGAAAGAACACGTCCATCTGGTCACCTGGTTGAGACAGTGATTCAAAGCGAAACAATTTTTTCATATACATGCTTAAATAATATATTTTTGTACGAAAGAGCTTTAAAAGTAGTTCAAGCAGAAAAAGCCTTGAAATTTGTAAATATAATTTAGAAAACTTGCGCAAGATTCGTACAGGAAGAGAGAGCTATATAAGGGCATTACGTAGAAGAGTCGTTAATACTTTCCTCATTGTAACATAACGTTGAATTTTAATCATATTTTGTACAAAMTGTCACGRCTGTGTAAATTTTTGTATAGATTCTTATTGATAGATTGGCGCTGGCTCGCCACAACTGAAATGTGTTTTATAATTGATCCATCTATTGTTTTTAAGGAAATCGCATTGTCTCGATAATAATAACCTTTTGAAAGTATGAAAAATGGTTGTATTTGCATATTATTCTGGCGACGCGTGAGCAGACGTGACCTTTGACGCATTTTCAAACCCACCCAACCGGATACGGTTCATGTATAGGCAAAATTTTTGCGGATAAAAATTGAAAATGAAGCTATGCTGCACCCCATGTTCGTGGTTTGACCGACACATAGCAATAGAGACTTTGTTACGATTAGAATAAAAGAAACGCCCGTTTGTCATCGAGTGATGCACCATTACAAAAACTAAGGGGCGAGTGAACAGGAAAAATCTAAACAGCCTTTAAGATAATAAAAAACATGCAGGCAATATTAAAAAAAAATATAAGGAAACAAAAATGAAATATGAAAGAAGGATGGGAGTTTCTTTGACTCTAGACTCTGAGCTGRTGACTTTGATGGACTTTGGTCATAAAATTACGATCTTCTTTGTCACAGGTATTTGCTAAACTCTTTCAAGATTTCTTCAACTTTTCATTCTTTTCTTTTCTTCATCTTGTAGCTTTGCTGTGATGTTCAAATCAAGCAGACCTGCGTTTCTAGAACAATCTCTTAACCAACTACTAAACCACGAAAAAACATGTTTTATCGAGCTCCATCTCACCCAAAGCATGCACTTCACGAGTTTAATAACCGGATGTGTCGCAATTACGATTACAGTATAACARTATAATTCAAATTTGGGAAATAAAGTTTATTGATATAAATATGGAACGTGAACAACAACTCACGTTCGTTTATCGTTACATAAGTAAAATAGCCGACTTCTTTTTTTGTGAAATATCTTTTCTTAACTAGATACAGTATCTATAATAATAGAGTATTTACAATATATCTAGTGATTACAATATTCTTACGGGGGAGAGGGGGGGATGGGTGCTTGTAGTATCAAATGAACCCTTAGTACTTAGACATTAAGGAAATCCTTTAAAAGGGCGTTTCAATACAAATTTGTCCACTGAAAGGCTACAGGAAATGTTAAGACCTCCTCAACGTTTCTCGCATTTTAGACCCCTTAAGAGGAGAATTCTTTGTTTTTCATCAACGTTGGAGARATGAAATATAGATGGCTTTTACAAAATTCTACTCCGAATGCATCAGTCAATTGTAATTATAACCACGGATACACAACCCCGGAGAATACCGGGGGAATTAACATTTCAACAATGTTAAAGTCTCGCCCTTTCCCGGCCGAAAAAGAAGCTAAACTGCTCATTTCCTTTGATTTGGACATTTTTAAAAAATTCCCCGTCTTACCGTCAATTGTCATGTTAAAACAGTGCTAAATCCCTGGTTGTAATGTGTTAATTCTCCGGCTCTCCCCGGGGGTTGGGTGACCGGGGATTCAATCGACTGCATTAGGGGTCCAGAAACTGAACAAACGTTGTTTTTCAGGCCGAGTTCTTTTGTCAAACAATMATTACGTCAAAGAAAAGGGAGCTYTTCTCGGTGATGTTTGTCAGTTTGAAAACCCTGAAAAATACTTGTGACTTCTGGAMGTYCGCTTCAACAATTCTAAAAGATTGCAGGCTATGACGTCACCCTAAGCCCACGCTACAGACGTCCTGTTGTGGAATTAGGTGCGCTAAAAACGTCTGCAAAGGAGGCTACTGAGCAGAAACTGACCTCTGATACAGACGACCAGTACAATATCACTAAAATCCTATTGCTCCTTCAAGACATCCGATTCAAATTACTAACCATACTTCTTAATTAACTAATCATTTGATATTATATTAATATTCATCAACCTATATTACAAAAGTACTCTGTTTTTCAGAAAATATAGAAGAAATTTGTCACTGTTACTAGGTATATCATAGATTATAGATCATAAAAGATGGAATCAAAGAGACCTTAGTCTCCTCGCAGCCGTGTTTAGTTTCGGTCACGCGTCACGCAACCTCTCCACATTGCGTGACGCGTGACCGAAACTAAACACGGCTGCGAGGAGACTAAAGAGACCTAGGCGAGATTGCGAAACAAATACAAGAAAGGAAATMATAGATTGCTACATGCATCAATTCACATGTCGACGCAAGAGCGACACAAACACACGCAAAACAGACGCACAAGTTCACACAATTAAAAATACAAAAATTAGCGCAAGAAAATGAAAAATGTTTCACTCTTGCGTCTGCATTTGTGTATAGACTGGAATCTGCGTCACTTGTGCAAACCAGGGTTTATTCGATTGAAAGCAAAGTTTTTCAAAGCAGGATTAGTGTTAATCCAGGGTTAAATTCAAAGATTCTTTAGGAATTAACCCAGGATAAACACTTATCAATCTTTGTAGACATTAGCCTTCTGTTTATTTTTGAACATTGAAGTTACTTTTATTTTATTTCTGAATCGAAATACTATAAGATACAGTGTCCTAAATCGACACGATGGAAGTGGWTTTTACAAGGATAAAGAATCGCCGCGAATTGACTGTTTTTCAGACTCAATTGCAGTATGGTTTTACACATAAAGTATAACCACCCCACGACTGCGATGCATGACGGTATGTTGTTCTATGATCCATAATCTATGACTTACTTTTCAATTCTTTACTGTGGTTACTAGACGCTGTATGTGGGTGAAGTGCTGGACCAAAGCTGTCTCAATAACGAGACGTCTTTATCAGTCACTTTTGTCTTCAGTACAAGATGGCTCTTCATCACTTGCTCTATTCTATTCGAAAAAAAAAGAAAAAAAAAAAAACACAAATAGTCGCTATGAAAAAAAAGTTTGTAAGTTTGTAAGTTACAGAATCTATCATTTATGATTAGAACTTTATCATTTAAGTATCAGAAGATGCAGGTGTAATGACAAAAGTTTGAGGAAAAAATCAAAATGGAGCCCTTTTTCTTTCTTTTCTTTTTATGTGTATCTCAAATGCTCTCAGCTCTGAATATTCAATACACGTAATTAAAACTCTTAAATTTACACTCTTAAATCCTGGTGATGGAATCAGATTTTAAAAATGACCATTTATAAAGTGCTCTTGTTTCGTCTACATCACTTTTTTGTAACGTTTGACATCAGTTTAACGAAGATCTAATTATACCTTTAATTTGTATATCAGATTCTTAATTTCTTGTCGTTTTGAATAGACTTTCTGCTGCGTGAACCACTTTGATTTATCTATGGGTGCTCGGTAGTTTTTTATCGGGTCCTGGAACGAGATAAAGGAAAGAATTTTATAAGGATAACCTGCAACAAATTGAACAATACATTGTAAGTTGTTACACTGTAGAATTTGATAAGCAATGAAGGAAAGTTATAATGCTTAGAAGGAGGTGATTGCGTGAGAAAGACCCTTGGAAATAAATCACGGAAAAAATAATTTCCGACCTCGCTGGGATAAAACTGTAGAATTTATCGGTCTCTTCAATTCTTTTGCAGGGGAGGGGAGCGGGCAGGATTCTTCCTTAGGAACAAGAATGTATGACATTTGAGGTTTGTATGCAGAGAAAGTGCACTTTTTGTTCTTGGGTTTCCTGTCTTTTCATCGCCATTCTTCCCTAGGGAGGGGTGTACGGCATTTGATTTTAGAAGAAGATGCGCTTTTGTTTTAGGGTTGCTTGTCTTTACACAGAAAGCCCAATGATGAACATAAGAATAGTGCTAAGGAGATACCTTGAAGAAGCTTTCTACATACTCTAGTACAAAAACACCACAGTCACAATGGTTGTCTTGATGAGGTACCTGTCAAAACACAAATACGATCATGAGAAACAGATTCGTGAAAAATGTCGGTGATTAAGGGTTAATTAGTATCTAACGTTATGATTGTAAACATAATCACCAGCCACATTCAATCTKCAAAATATACCCATCTTTCCTTCGAGGTCATGGAGTTTYCAGTAAATAAAGAGAAGAAATGAAGAACGAAAAAATGAAAGAAAAAGAAAAAAATCAATACTCTGTACCTTGGGAAATGTGCCTTTAATGCTTTYTTTACTGAACTCTTTCTCTGGTTTATTTGGTCTTTTGTTCTTCCATTCACATGTTAAATATCTGCATTGCAAAAAATACATGTCATTTGATGTTATCTAGTCTRCACTCTAATGAATGAGTTTCAAATCAACACACCCTCTAAGGTTTAAAGTAACTCTTGCTCTTCCTGATCCACCAAGCGAATCAAATATTAAAATACATGGGCTGTTGAAAATATAAATACATGTATATTAAGTGTATCGTGAATGGTTTGAAGTAGTTATGTATAATAATATGTATAATGCATAATTCCATGCCAGAAAGTAAAACATACACAATTCTAATCCCATATAATTATTGCATCAGTGAATACCCCTACCACCAGCAAAAAGGTACTGGCGTAATCACACATTGTGGTCATGTTTTAAAAGCATCAATCCATGACATTGCATTAACTGGCATTAGACAGCTACAGCTTTGATAGGTTTCCTTGAGTTAAATAAAGAGTACAATGTAGCTTATTATGGACCTTATTTACCATCAATAAATATAACATTCTCTCCATTTCCTTATACAAATATAGAGATTAATACAGCCTTTTGCAAAAATTATGAGAATTGTTGAAATATATAAATATCATAATATCAAGTGCATGATCCCGCGCGATGCCCTTAGTCCCTTGTCTTTGTAGTTTATTTTTCTTTGGCGACGGACTTATCCGTAGTTCTGAACATTTTCTCGATGTCAACAATGAATTATTCTAGCAAACCCGCGTGTTCCGGACAATATATGAATATGGATATTATGATATTTAGATATTTAGACAATTCTCATAATTTTTGCAAAAGGCTGAGTGTATAGCTAACAATATATTAATATAGTGTAGCTTACTTTGATTTCAGAACAGGCAAATTTGCACTGTTCTTTTTACTTGTACTTGTTGTTGACACAAAATCAGAGTCGTCAGTGTCTTCTACGTCCACTTCATCTGCATCCTGTAAAATAAACAAGATTATTATTGTTAAAATGTTTTCGTACGTAGGATTCATTATAAATACTCAGTTTTGTTCCTTCTATGTGCTCGGAATATTAAAACACACGTAGAAGGAACAAAACTGAGTATTTATAAGATTATTATTGTTTAAATTCGGGATTCCTTTGTCATATCCCAGAATTCCATGAGGCTGTGCTTGAAACTAAGACAAGAAACCTTAGAGTTTACTTACATTTGATTCTGATAAGATTTCTTCCTCTTCAATGGGTYCATCAAGGTGAGGAAAGCAGATAATTGCAAGAAACCAGTGGGAACTACAAAAAGTCCATTTAACACATTATTAGGACATCTACAAAATCAGGGTTCGTACAGATTTTTACATATAAAATTCAAGGACTTTTCAAGGACTTTTTAAGGATTAATTTTCAATTTTCAAGGACACCAATTACAAAGAGAAAGATACAGTTAATAAACTTACTAGTCCTGTGTCTTACCAAACAGAACAATAAAAACATTGTAGTCAAATTTGTTTAAGAACTTTATCTCTTGGAACATATTTTTCTCAATCTCTATTAATTGTTTTACCACCGTACTGCACAATAGTACAACAGACATTGCCAAAAGGATTGAAATATTATCAATTTGCTTCAAAGCTTGGCAAAATTGATCTCTAAAACATTACTTCACAACAACCAAGACTGATTCAAGGACTAAATTATCATTTTCAAGGACCTTTCCTCCAAATTCAAGGACTTTTCAAGGACCTAGGTCCAAAATTAAGGACTTTTCAAGACTGTACGAACCCTGAAAATGACTTGCTTTAGAACAAACAATAAAAGTTTGTTACAATTATATATTAAATAAATGTACTGAGATATTATATGAATTGTTTCAAAACTGATTATTATAAGATGTATTAATATACAAACCTCTCATTTATTGGTACAACTATGAAGTCTTTGGCAAATAAATCCACATTTCTGGTCCATTTCTTTACTCTGTCATGCATTTTGCGCATACGATCTACAGAACTATGAAATACAAAAAAACAAGGAAAATTCATTTGAACCTGACAAAAGTGCTATCATCTTGTTTTACAATAAAAAAGCAATTTGCATGTCATGCACTTTTGGATAAAATAATAAGATTTTGTAGCAAAATTCTTTGTTTTCAAGTTACGTCACAGTAGCCATCTTGGAGGGACTTCAAAAAAGGATTTTCTCATTAGTATCTATTGTTCATTCCTCCAACATGGCCACCAGTCTTTTATCTTTTGAATGTCATGGGAATGGCTGAAAATGATCAATTCATTTTGTAGAAATTTTGCTTTTACTTGCATTGAAATTATCACGTACCTYAATAAGCCACCTTCYGTGTCATTGGTTGATTTTTGTGTAAGCCGTTTATAAAAATATGAACTAAATATGTGTGTTCTTTCTCGKTCTTTCTCTGTCAGGATGTCATGATAAATGTACCTGAAATACCAGCACAACATAAATTAAGCATTATCTCTCATTTATTGAATTAATTAATCATTAATTAATGCCGAAAGTAGTCAATAAATAAAAGCAATGCAAAAGAGATTTATGATAAGTTATCTGACATCTACTGTAGGGACTCACGGCTGTTTAGTGAAGAAGTTTAACATGGAAAAACACAGACCATATACACCCTTTTAATAAGTCCCGAGGTATTACGTTCTCCGCACTTGATGTCAAATTTATTCTTTTGAATTTCTTTTGTATTGTAAAAATTTCAAAAGAATAAATTTGACGTCAAGTGCGGAGAAAACAATACCTCGGGACTTATTAAAAGGGTGTATAATTATTGTTGTCTTACTTGAGGTAAAAGTCAATGATAACATCATTCAAAAACTCTCCTTGAGCCAGACATTCAAGGTCAGCAGTTGTCACTGTTATACTGCCATGCTGWGGGGGAGGGGGGTAGATAATCATCCTATGGCAAAGATTACAAAATAATTAAGATTCAGAATGTATATTAAAAATAGATGACTTCAACGAAACACCTCAATCGTTGCAACGAGAGAATCAAGACGACACATCGTGGATTATACTCTTTCCTTTATAAGTCAGAATAATAATTATTAATTATTATTAATTATTGAATAGTGTTTCATCAGAGGCTATGCTTCATGCAAAAAGCCTTGCAACCACATGTACTGAAGTCTGAGGGTGCGTATGTAATATATACAATATGAGCGGGCGATCTGTATGAGGATTTAAAACAGCGAGCTGAAAGCGAGCTGTTTTAAACCTCATACAAATCGCGCTCGAATATTGTATATTACTTATGAAACGTTGAGGTAAACTAGCTCAGGTTTTAAAGAAACTTTTGAAAAAAAATCAATCTGACCGAGAAAATCAGAGTTAAAGTTTATGCAAATGAACAAGAAATCTGTATGTAATATACAACTCTCTTCATGGGCTATGATTTCTATTGTGTTTTGCCTTATGAATATTAATGAGTTTTATAATGAATAATAAACAGCCCTTTAGCTACTCACTTTGTAGGTGAAACATTTGAATTTGTTGTTCTGCTCGATGTAGTTGTTGATCTTGTGTTATAAGTACGAGCTGCAAAAACACATTTTCGTTAACAAGACTACACAAAATTCAAGTATAAATAATATTAAATATTATAAAGACCCTAAGAAATAAATTCTGACAGATTTTGTTCGTTCATGTACAATATACTTACGTTTGGYACCAGGTAGGGAAGTATGTCGTACAATTAACTTTTGAGCTTCTTCGAGACTGGTAAATCAAATATCACGCAAAGTGTTATTAACATGTAKTTAATAAATCGTTTAATAATAAATTATTAATCATTTATCACTATTAATCATTCTTTAATGATTACAAACCTCAGCTCTTCAAACTCTTTACCATGAGTGTCTGAGACCTATTAAAATAATTATTATTTAATAATTATTACTAACCACCATACAAAACACAAATCTTAATAAATCAATCTTGATAGGCTCATATGATGCCAACCTCTGTACACATTTGACAAGCTACATTCAATTTCAACATTTGGTTGGACATGACATTTCTTACCCACTCTGAAAGATCTGCAATGGATTCTTGTGTTGGATTGTCATCAATTTCCAGAATAATGTCTTTTTCTCCAGTAACTAAAATATCAAAACAAATCACAAAATTCAAATATATTACTAATATTTGCAGGTCAAATTAATTGTACTTTTCTACCTGGACTTCCTGGATCAAGAAACTTTCCATTGCCTGGGAATCTTTCTCTTAGTCTTAAAGCCAGACACTGGGTGACCTCTAGAACAATGATCTTAGGATCTGCATCAACATGGATCTGGACAAATAAATTCAATATTTGTAGGTGATCAGTCAAGGCTAGAGTGTTCATGTACACCATATTGTCAAATGGTGTCATTCACTTTTGCATTATAACTATTATATTTAGGAATGATATTAAGATAACTCTACAGGTGGTTAAGGTACCTTTAGGGCTGTGAACTCATTAGGTTGTACAAGGATAGTCACTGTCTTGTCATCTGCACAAAAGGAACACATAAAGTTATAAAAGCACAATGCACAATAACGAAAAGTGAAGGCTCACTAACTTGCAACTAAGAAACTTTAAGTACTCATTTATTTTTAAATTTWAAAAAAATGATCTGCACTGTTGAAAGCCATTTTCCATTTGAATAAATTAATTGACTGCCCATGCACACATGAAGACAATTCTTGACATCAAAAAATTCAGTCACGTGAAGCTAAACAACACACAATGGAATTTTACCAAAAATGTAATATTTACAATGCAATATCGTTACAGAGTATTGTATAAAATAACAGCTATGCAAACAGTAAATAGTAAATTAAAATAACATGCAATATAGCAACAGCAAAAACTTTCACTCACTGTGTTCCATTTTCCATTTTAGCTGATCAAAGCTTATCTACAAAATAAAACAGATAATAATATGAATATTAAATAACCAATAAAATAATGTCTGGTGCAGTCAAGTAATGACACTCCTCTCCCCCCTCTCCTCTAAGTTATAGTGCTACACCTAAAGTCACTTTAGCTTGACCTTATTACAATTACATAACTTCCCAAATGAAAATTAGATCCAATATTAATCTCACCACCTCTCCCTTAAGTTACAATGTCATCCTATATCACACCTCTAAAGTCCCTTTGGCTGCCACTTCCAAACTTCCCAATAAGATCTTAGGTCCAAGAATGATCTCTGCTCTATAACCGTCCCTGTCAAATGAAGCTCCATTTGCAGTTTTTGATTTAGGCTTTGCTGTGTTGTTCTCTTGGTTTGGATTCATGTCTTGTGTGGATTTTAGTGTAGTAGAAGGTGATGATTGATCCTCAGGCTTTTTAGTTACTTCTACAATAAAGATAAATCAAAGGGACAGTTATAAAGTGTTAAGTTTTAAAAATTCCTGAAAACGAATATTTTTTAAATGTCAAAATAAAATATTACAAGCTACATAATTGTTATGTGACTGAAAAAGGAAGAACCCAAAAAAGACAGCCAATTAATTATAATTCAGTGGATTGTAACTACTTCTTTCATTGACAGCTTTGTATTGGGATCCCTGTGTATAGCAWAGCACAGGAATCCCAACACCAGCAGAGCAAAGAAATACACTATTAATACTGATACTTGCCTTTTTCCTCTTCTTCATCACTTGATATTATTTCAACTTTGGCTAACAAAATAAAACAGCATAAAAATTATTTATACTCAACTCTTTTATAATCAAAAAATAATTTTTATGATAATCACCTGGTGATGGTGGTGCTATCTTTCGTCTTGTCTTAGAATACTGTGAACAAACAAAAACTTAACTTCATTTACATGTGAGTAAAACTTTAGCCTCCTCATCAAGCAATCCCTTTTTTCAGTTTTAATAAATTTTGGGTTCCCTGTGGAGAAAATTGAGAAGAGAGGGGACTGGGAGAGAGAAAACAAAAAGTGAGATGATATCTCTCCAGGGGCTATTCCCACTCTCTTACTGAACTAACACAGAAAGGACAACTGCAAAAAAGCTAGACAGATAACACCATCTTGCTTTACAGTCATCAAATTTAAAATGCTTGTAAATAAATGTGACTATTTATATCTCTTTTTCTACCTTTTTTTGGTACTTTTTCTTCTGCGAGGGTTCCTTAAAATTACTTTCCTCATCACCACACGTTAACTTTCTTTTCTTCTCATTATCGTTCTGGCTTGGTAACGTCTTGTTCTCTGTCGATGTCTTATTGTTGAATGGATAAAAATTGGACAACAGATTCCCATAAAAAGACTTCTTATTTGAACTGCCATCTTCAATGTTATTTTCATTGATATTATGAATAGGAGGGCGAGGTGTTGCACTAGATGATGGGAATGAATGCCTTCTCGATACCTCAATTGAATGATTACAACCAGTAGTTGTTCCTTCATTGTTATCATTACAAGAATTAACTGTGCTTGAAGAAGGATAGGTGTGCCTTCTGGAGGAGTCACTTTCACTTTCTTCTTCTTGTGAATCACTGCTTAAATTTGATTGACAGTTCTCATGACTAACTGATTTTAATGTTTCCTTGGATACTACAGGTTGATCTTTGGTTTCTTCTTCACTTTCACTCAAGGAGATTGCACTTAAAATGTCTTTGTCATTTGATTTTATGAAATAATCATTCCCCTTTAGTCTTCCACTACTAGTACATGCATTAGTTGTGTGTGAATTATGTTTTTCATCTTCATTTTGCTGGTGAGACTTTCTTTCATTTGRTGATTTTGCTCCACTAATCATGTCAATATCAGCTTCAAAYGGTCKTTCTTGTTTCCTRCAYCTTGAATTATTTAAATTTGGCTTGGGTGTTGAAGACCTTTAATAAAATTCAAATGGTTTGTCAAGAAAGGACATCATCATAAGAATTTTCCCAAACTTAGTAAATTTACTAATTTCATGTGATAATTGAGGTAGGTTGCATTTGTTTTTTACTCGCTACCTGTTTGACTCTGAATTGACAGGAACTAAAAAATGATTGCAAATAGTAAAGAAAATCTATTGGGGTACTATATATATAAGATCTGATCTACTCTACTCTCGCATCCGTTATATGGTTTGTTCCCAGGTCTCTCTCACAAACGACTGTGTTAGGGGAGAGTGACCTGGGAAYGAGCCTTGTAATTGCTGYGAGAGGAGACTATATCTTATCACAAATTTGTTGAAAAAGTACCTGTAATCTTTAATACATACTTGTTATATACTTTTTGACTAAGACTAGCTGAATTCCACTGCCGCAACAACATACTTCTGATATTATTTCTTTTTGTGGTTCTGTGAGATTTGAAGTCATGTTTTGTTGGAGAAAAAGTAGATTCAAAGCCCATTTTCTTTACATTATAACTGCTGCTCATTGGACTTGATGGTGAGCTGGTTGTTGTGCCATTTGATAAGGTAGTAGCTTTTGGTACGGATTTTTTTGGGATTTTGTAGGAGTTGGTTTTTCTGTAATCCTAGCAAGAAAACAAAAAAATAAATAAATTAATTAAAAATTAAGCAGTATTATTAATGAACTTTTAATTCCACTGTGTATTCAAAAGAAGCCACTGTGAACCAAACAGTCTACTTCACTCCACCATCTTGAAATATAACTACTAGCATGCATCTGCCTTCGATGTGAAATAACTTGTGAGTTTGCAATGATATAAACCTTTGCTGACAATCATAGACACAGTACACTCTCGCTTCATGGAAAGGCAAGGTTAAATTTCAAGAAGGCACCATGAAGAAGACTTTAATTTCCTAAGGTTGCTGTTGCAGTTATACATGTAGTGTTGCTACTCATCTAGCAAACATGAAAGTAGATATTGGGAGAAAAATGAAAATAGTGTACAAAAATCACTAGGCATGTATCAATTTAAAAAACAAATCTCACATAAAAATGTTTGCCTTACCAGTGGATTTTTATTATCATTAGACTTTAAGTGCTTTTTATCATCACTGCCTATAAAATAATAATATGTGGATGATAGAGTCTATCGGATAAGACTGACAATGGTGAGTTTAAAGATACTGTATTT